ATATATGGCTAATATGCTAAGTGTCTGACCATCTAGGTAATGATGTCATGTAGCAACGCCCAGAATCCTCTCCCTAGCGACTAGCCTCCTTGTAGCTTCTTCAGCCCAGGAATATGATTTGCATTATACCCAGGTGGAAACATTTCACATTGTAACCAAATGTCTGTGAAGCATTTTCCAATGCCTCATCTCATTTGATTCTCCCAGAAGTCCTGGAGTAGGTGATAGGAGACTTGGTGGAATCCTATTTTCTTTTCATTAGTCCGAAAACGGAGATTTAGAAAACTTAGGAACTTGACCTGACTGAAAAGAAGTAAGAAATGGTAGACCTTGAAAAATGACTTCAGGTTTTCTCACTGTCCAGAATATAGTCACTGCATTGGTGAAATATTTTATCCTTTATTCTCCCTGCATGATCCTACATAATAAAAGCATGGTATGCAAATTGTCCCCTCAACCGGGAGTTTGACCAGAGGGCAGGGCCAGCTGGGGGAAGGGTGGGAGGCCCTGGCTGGTGGCAGGCAGCAGGTGGCCCAGGCAAGGGAGGGAGTATCCAGCTGGCTAAGTTGATTCATGCATACGCAATACATACAAAGCTCTCCCTGTTGCCAATCGCACGCGCGTGTTTTGATCTGTTGTTGTCGATCATGAATTTGGTTGACACTTCTATTATAGAGAAAAGGCTAATAGCAATATTAAAATATTTCTTCTAATTAATTTCCTTTCTATGTGCACGAATTTGTGCACTGAGCCACTAGTGTAGTGATAACCTATTAGCCGATTAGTACTTAGCTTACTTAGTTTTATTCTAGCATTTATGATGTGATTGGTGATCTGCTTTCCCAATTATCATTTCAGGAACAACAATACCTCATCTTTTGAACAGTACATCTAACAACCTATACCTGAATTTCCAATCAGACATCAGTGTTTCCGCTGCTGGATTTCACCTTGAATACACAGGTAAGTATAATACCAGTTTACTCATCTTGCATAACTTAAACTTAAATTTGTTGAATGGTGACTTTCCATTCCTCCCTCCCCGCAGCCCCTGGAACCAACATTCCACTCATTGTTCCTGAGTTCTCCTTTTTGATATTCTACATGTAAATGAGATCATACAATATTTGTCTTCTCTGTCTGATTTATTTCACTTAGCATGACACTCTAAATGTCCATCCATGCTGTTGCAAATGTCAGGATAGCCTTCTTGTCCATGGTTTTAATAATATTCCATTATATGTATGTAACACATCTTCATTTCTTCATGTAGGCGGACACCTAAGGTGTTTCTATATCTTAGCTATTAATAATGCTGCAATTAATATAGAACTGATATGTCTTTGTGATCCTGATTTTAATCACTTTGGATCTATACCCAGAAGTAGTACCACTGGATCATGTGATACTTCTATTTTTAAGTTTTTGAGGGACCTTTATGGTGACTATAACAATTTACATACTCATCAGCAGAGCTTGAGGGTTCCCTTTTTGCCACATTCTCATCAATACTTTATATTTTTTTGCTTTGATAATAGTAATTCTAACAGGTTTGGGGTGACATCTCTTACTTTTGATTTACATTTGCTTGATGATTAGCCATGTTGAGCATTTTTTCATGTACCTATTGGCCATTTGTGTTTTCTTTGGAAAAATGTCTTGTAGATATTTTGCCCATTTTTTAAAAATGTACCTTTATTGTTGAACATACTACATATGTATGTCTCCCCCCTTTTTTTCCCATTGACTTTCCTCCACCTCAAACCACCACCCTCCAAGCTTTCACTGCACTATTGTTTGTGTCCATGGATTGAGTTGTATGAGTTCCTTATAAATTTTGGATATTAACTCCTGTTTTTGTGTGTTTGGTTTCTTCTGGGATTTTTATTTTTCTGTGCAACCCTCTCTTCTGGTTTAGGAACAGTCTGCTCTTTTTCAGTAAGGATCATCGCAATGCGGTGGGGAGAGCTCACGTGTGGGTTAATCCACCCTTGAACTCTATAAGTTCTATGCCACAACTTGGGAGTTTGTTCACCTGGATGTGCTCAATGACCAGAGAATCTATATCTAACTCCTTAAGTTCAGCATTAATCTGTATTTTTGAGTATGTGCCATAAAAATTCACCACTGACCCTTTGGCCTGAGAACACCTACTAACTCCACCATTGCAATGAAGGAATGGAGCACACTGCTTCTATAGTGACATTCTTCCGATACTTGGTGGCTTTTCAGATATGCATACCCATCATGGCCCAGACAGTGTCATAAGCATTCTTAAAGTGCACAAGAAAATTTGAAACTCTTGACTTATATTATTTTGTAGGGTTTTCTGAGTAAGTGAATAGCAAACCATTTTCAGAGGTCATCTCAATCCACTTATGGGAAGAGAGAGTGGATATTAATTCCTTGTCAGATAGATATATTGCAGATAATTTTTTTCCGGTTACACAGGTTGCCTTTTGATTTTGTTGTTACTTGTGCTGTGCAGGAGTTCTGTTGTATTGTTTTGATGTAGTTCTACTTACTTTGCTCTTGTTGCTTGCGTTTTTGGTGTCATATTAAAAAAAATAAAAACCAATGTCAAGGAGCTTTTCCCTATGTTTTCTTCTAGAACCTTTCTATATCAAGTCTTATATTTAAGTTTTTAATCCATTTCCAATTAATTTTTTAAAGTGGTGTAAGATAGGGGTCCAATTTTATTCTTCCACATATGATTATCCATTTCCCCCACACCATTTATTGAAGAGACTATCTTTTCACCATCGAGTATTCTTTATTCTTTATTCCCTCTTCAAATGTAATTGATTGTATAGGAGACAGTTTATTTCTGGTCTAGGTGCCCATTTTTATGCTGGTACCATACAGTATTGATTATTTTAGCCTTTCTAATATGGTTTGAAATCAGAAAGAATGATGCTTTAAATTTTTATTTGTTTGGTTGTTATTCAGTATTGCTTTAGGTATTTGGGTTCTTTTGTGGTTCTAATTGAATTTTAAGATTTTTTTTGTATTTATGTGAAATATGTCATTGGAATTTTGATAGGGTTTGCATTGAATTTGTAGGTAGCTTTAGGTAGTATGGACATTTTCACAATATTAATCATCCTAACATTGTAATTATATGTTTTAGGGATTTGTCTTTTTTCTAGATTATTCATTTTTCTAGTGCTTAATTATTCATAGTAGTCTCTTGTGATCCTTTTTATTTCTGTAGTATCAGTTGTAATGTCTCCTCTAAATTCTAAAAAAGGAACTGAATCCTGTAGAAAATTTAAATCTGAAATGGGAGTAAGTGGCTTTTCTTGTTGGCATAGAAAAAATATATTTAATCTCTCAACTTCCGATTAAACTTTTAAATACAAAAAAAGACGTATGCATTCAAGTTAAATACATATATGGGTTTGTATTTTGTTCCATAAAATGGTCATAAGTCTAATTGGGTGATTGTTGGGTAATTTTGAGCTTAATGTCTCCCTCTGCCATTAGTACAGGATCACGTTCATTTAGGATATCCTTTTGTTTCTTGCACTGAGCTCAGTCCCTGAATCTTATTAGTGTTCAAAACATATTTGTTGACTGAATAATGAGTGAGTGATACATCTAGAAATATAAGATAACAGATATATAATATTGGAATATATCATTGCCATCAGTATGCCTACACTGATGTTGGTGTTCATAAAGGTATTTAGCACCTTTGTCTGTATGTATTTTATAATTCTGTTGGCTTCTGCTTCCTGAAGGTAGTAACTATTATTTTCTCAGCATCACTGTATCCATCACTGTAACATCATTACCTCTATGAAATTCTGATAGAAAAGAAACTCGCTATAG